TCAGATCATCTCCAGACCAGACCAGATTGTTTCCAGACTCAAAATGCATCCTAATGTATCACTATGCTATTTCTGGCCTCTGTCACACCAGTGCAGTCCGTTCTAGACCAGACCAGAAAGATGGTGCAGGTCTCATTTTGTCTGATCTGGAATGCACTGAAACTGCGGGCAGGCTCACACCATTTTGCGGACCAGATCTGGCAAAATGGTGTGAACCTGCCCTTAAATGTTCATTTTAACGTGTGCAAATAAAAAGCAAAATGGCTCTGGAAACAAAAAGCGTAAATAACTTCCTACCAACATTATAATACAAAATATGTATTTTAAAAGGTGAGTTGGTCTATTATTATTTAACAAAATGTACTCTCTACACATCATACAGTAATGCTTTTGAAATATTCTGTATCTGTGTTTCTCTGCTGCTCAAAGGATATTTAAAAAGATATGCCAACACTTAAGTTCTTGTAAAGTTTCTGTCATGAACATAGAGCCTTGGATCTTGTTCTATCATCTGACTTTTTCTTTCATCTTTTACGGAACCCTGCTGTTCTGACTTTGTGAAGGGCATGGATCATTTGTTTATCCACAAAACAGATAGAAAACATCAGCTCCAACTCAGGACATCAATGGCCCTATTTAATAAGCTAGTGCAGTGTCATGATGATGTGCCAAGAGCCTTAGCACAAAGTAAGCAGTTTTCAACTCATTGAAGTTGGGTCATTCGAAGAAAAATTCTGATTTGTCATTATAGGTTACTGTACTTGGCATGTTGGGCTTTGACTTATCAAATAAGACTGTGTATTCAAGGCAAGGTTCCTCAGATGTGATTCTTTTACTGTATGTGGGACGTTCTCCCCGATTATTTTTAATGTACCCTAACCCATAATAAAGACAATTGAGTCAACATGATACATGTTTACATGTGCTCCAGGAGAGTCAGTTATAATTAAAGGCCCTTTGGGCCCTTCAAACAGTGGAGCCTGTCAATATCCTTCCATTTCAAGTGTCCTGAATCCAATTTGGACTAAACATTGTGCTTAGAGTTACAATTGCAACAAGAGTAAATAATTCTAGTGACACTAAACTCAGGAGTTAAATCTTAAAAATGCATTCAAGTACCTAAACAATTAACAAAAATGTATCTTATTTGTGTATCACTCGGCTGTAGATCCTCATATCATCTCTAAATTCATGCTGACACTGTCCTTCCTTCTGGAGGGGGGCTACTTTTGTTCCCCATGGGCCCTGTGTGTGTTGCAAAATAGCCAACACTCCAAGCTCACTCCCGTGATGGACTGCAATCTCAATACAAATTAGTAAACTAAACATGAGATTAAAATAGATATAACTTTATTCCATTAGGGTGAAATACCACATTTCATAGGACCAGCAAGGGGAAATCTTCCAGTGCATTCCTTGTTCTGCTGACAACTGTCTAAGACAATTGTGTTTACATCAGGAGTATAGTTACATCATCTGTCAGTACAGAGGCTCAGGCAGAGTTTTTGCTGCTCTATCCAGCCTCTCCTTACATCAGTAGATCACTGATATAGTAATCTATTGTTGGCTGCACAGCTGCATGAGGTGTCTGACTAGATCTAGACCCCCCATGAAGAAAAGTGTAAAAAATAGAAAAACATATATCCTAAAAAAAAAAATATTCCCTGTTAAAATAAATTCCCAGGTTGTAATAATGTTATTTTATGATCTGAATGACATTTGCGTTTACTGTTCAAGCATCAAATGTGAACGCATTGTCATTCAAATTTTTGGCGATCTCAAACCTATGAAAAGGTTGCCGTTGTGCTAATTTATGCTCTTGTCAACCCTCCTTAATCTTTTTTTAATGTTAAGCCAACAACATACTCAAACACAGCTTTTCCCCCCTTCTGTGCATCCCAGTGTAGCGTCAAAAGAGGACTAAAGCTCTCTTAAAGTAAAATGCATACATTCACCTCCTAGAGTGTTACCATTTGGCTACCTTTTCTAAAAGTTACACTTATGGAATATGATTTAAATCAATAGACATTGTTGATGATATTTTGTGATAAATATTGGGGGCGTGCAGCATATTCCAAATAATAACCAAGGATATAAAAATATATGTATCCAAATTTGATATCAAATTAAATCCTGGGGACTCAAGTGGTTAAGCTGCCTTGCTGGAGGGCACCTCCAGGCTGAGCTAGAGCAAGAGATGTGTACCTGTATGGAACATCTCTAGAGAAATCAGGAAGATAGCTACATTTATAGAGTATCTTTAGAATAATCAGGAATATAGCTACCCATATGGAGAATCTTTAGAAGAATAAGGAAGATGGCTACCTGCATGGAGAATCTTTAGAATAATAAGGAAGATGGCTACCTGTATGGAGAATCTTTAGAAGAATCAGGAAGATGGTTACCTGTATGGAGCATCTTTTAGGAAATATACTATGAAAGATGACGACCTTATGGAGCATCTTTGGGAACATTTTATATGGAGCATCTTCAGAAAAGTCTGCTATACTAAAGATGTTGCTGGAGAACGTAGAAGAATCTACTGCCGGGGGACATTGCATGGAAACCTCACTACTCAACGTTTCTAGGTATTTGACTTGCATAGGGTCAAAGGGCCTACTGAATTAAGAGGCAGTTCATAAAGAGCCACTAACAATTTTGCTGCTACTAGGGGGCCACAAATATTTTACCATTTTTCTGTATTCTGTGCCCCTAAACCTCTCTTCAGATTTTATTGAGTGAATAAACTAATAGAAAATATTAGGGTGACTGGTGCCCAACTGTTTGTTATTCCCCACTATGAGCCAAGGACCCTCCCTGAGATGTTAAATGCTAGCCTGCCCCACCATCTCTGGGGTTATCCTCCCACACTGGGAGGAATGTTACACCTGACAGAGATTCTAACCTTTTTCCATTCTATCCCAAACAAAAAAAAAGGTTTGGGGTATAGATATACTTCACAGTGGAGATTAAGATTCTTGAAAATGCTCGTTCCCTTTAAATAAAACAGTTTACATTATTCTTAAAACAAATTTTATGAGCCATCAATTTATGTGTTTTAGTTGAAAAGATAGGCAAATAATATGCCTTTTTGTGCAGCAATTACGCGGGGAGCTGTTGTTCAAATATTCGGAACATAACCTGCCAAAACTTCTCAGTAATTTGCAATTTTGTTTCCTCTGCTGGCTGGTAATACTTATATTTGGGTGATAAAGTTCTCTCTCTGCAAAAGCTGTCAATATTTTGATTCAATATTAAGTAATGTACTGCATAGCGACGCTTAAGCCACTCTGTGAAATTCAATCTGGGACTTGGTTTACTGTATTATTCCATTGCATCAGCATTTTGATTGCGTTAAAGGTATATTATTTTCACAGCTCCCCATTTGTCTGTTTTCTAGACTCTGGTAATACGTTTAGTGGCAGTACAGAGGAATGGTATGGTTTTTATCTGTAATCTCTAGTGTTTAAGGATGAAATTATTAGGTTTTTTTTATACTCTAATTTAACTTGTGGCATTTATTGAGAGGCAATTAAATATGTAGTTACGTCTGTAAATGATAGGAAGGATTCTAAATAACGATCAAATTAGATTTATCAGTTATATTCTGCAGCCAGCGGCGAAATATGCTGAGGATTCAATAAGGGTATTTGATATGCATTTTTCAAGGAGATACAGTAATAAGATACTTGTAATACCCAACACTTAATGAGATTTTGTATTGTGGTTTCTTTCTTTCTGGCAAAGCACCGGAATACTATTTTATATGGAGATATATTGTAGGGTTGCTATGATCATCAGTCACTGTAGTAATTAGCCTTTTCAGCTTGAGCTAAGTGCATCCTATGTGCATGGTAAAGCCCAAAAGCTTTATATCTTTAAATGACTTACTTTATTTTTCAGCTTTTTTTGTATTTGTTGGTGATATAGTCATTTGTTTTCAGAGGTTCAAAGGCTCCCTTTATTGATAATTTTAAAGAATCTCTACTTTCATTAAAAATTGATATAGCATATATAATTGCTTCACGGGCCACTTTGGGCAATCCATTACTCTTTTTGCAGAGGCCGTCTCTGCCCAAAGGACTAAAGCTCTGCTTGAGCATGTGCTGGATAGGGCAATGTTAATGTAT